TAGAAAATAAAGTGAATATTCCTCTTGACTGTGAAACATAGAAGAAATGTATATAAACAAAGTATGACATTTCACGTTGTTGTTTTGTTTAATTTTGGCGATTTTCTTGCTTATCCCTTTCCTTTGGTATTAGGATTTATTGTATGAAATATGAAACGTTTGGGATATTATAAATGTATTTATATGAGAATATATTTGTAGGATTTTGTGTGTGTTCTGTTGTGTGTGTGTGTGTGTGTGTGTGTGTGTGTGTGTGTATTTCTGTTTTTCCTTATTTTATGAAAACAAACTGAACATACCTGCAACTGTATCCAGTTGGCTCTTATTTACTGTTATAGCTATTGCTGCCGCTGCTGTTGATGTTCTTTTTCCTTATTTTTTTTTACTCCGAAAATTCATGTACATACATATTCAAACGGATTCTTGGAAACTTAGCAAAGCTTTCTCTACTTATTGTTTTGCGTGTTTGTGCAAGAAAGTTGTTGTTTACTAATATTGTTGTTTTTGCTGCTATAACTGGATTTACTAATTTGCATTTTGTGTATGCTCGATAAATATATTGTATTGTAGGTTGGTTGTTTGTTGCCGATGCCTAAGCAGTAAAATAGTGGATGCAAGGGAAAGGAAGAAAGAGAGCGAGAGTGTGTGTGTGTGTGTGTGAGAGAGAGAGAGAGAGAGAGAGAGAGAGAGAGAGAGAGAGAGAGAGAAGCAGAATGAAACGGGCAGAGGTTGGTGCACGTTGCCGCACCGTTGCTCTAGCCATTGCATATAAAGTTTTTAACTCAAGAGCGCAAACACATGCATGTACATTTAAAATTGGCAATATAACGAAAAAGCGTGCGTTTCCGAACACATACATATGAACTTAAAAGCATAATACAAACACAATACAGCAATGGCAACAGCAGCAGCAGCAGGAGTGGCAGTAGTAATTTTATTCAAACTGTGTCAGCGCTGCGCAGCTGTATATGTATATATATGTATGCTGTATACATTTATATATATATATGTGCACGTGCAAATTTTGCAAAGCACTTCTCGCTGTGTTTGTATGTTAGATCTGTATTTGCGTGAGTTTTCATATGTATGTAGTTCATATATTTATTTATGTGTTTGTATATGTATGTATATGTTTGTTGTCAAAGCAGAAGTGTATATTGGATTGCTGTGAAAGCAAGCATTAAGTTGAAATTTTTCTTTAATAGATTTCAGTTATTTTTTGCCACGTCGTGCTTGTATTTTATTTTCAATTTTTTTTTATTTTTTTTTATTTTTTTTTTCCTTCTTATTTGCTCAGAGAGGAGTGTGTATACATAACCATTGGATCAGTAGGTACAATATATACAAATGAAAACATTGAAACGACATCAACTTATAATCGTTACAAACAGCCAGCGGAAGTTAGCAAAGTCAAATTGCACGCTTCACGGATTACAAAGATTGTGAATTCATTTTTTTTTTTTCCTTTTTTTTCGCTGTAACGATGTGATTTTGCGCTTGAAATACGATTTTCGTTTCGTTTGTAGCCATAAGCGACAACACCAACAAACATATGCGCAATTTATGAAAAAGGAATAAAAAAAAAAATAAATGTTAGTAAAGGATGAATTTTGATATTGAGAGATTTATAATAATTTTCCAGCATATACGGAAAATGGAAACGTGTACTGAAAAGTATTTATATATACGTTTTAGTTTTATTTTTTTTTTTTATGCTCAAAATCATATTAGAAATTAACGAACAATTTAAATGATGACAAGCACCTTGAAATGAATTTTTATCATTTACGCCTTAAGATGTGTTGATTAAATAATTTTTTCTTTTCCCTAACTGAAATAAATTTCGTCGTCAAAACTGCTCTGCTGTCAATATTACGGATGTCAGAAAATGCGTAAAAATTTCAAAGCGGAAGAAGTAAAGCTTAGCATTTCCTTTTTATAAATTTGGCATGATTTTTGGATGACCGTAAGTTACAATCTTCGACTGCAAAGAAATTTAACTTAAAATCTTCAGATTACATTGTCAGTGATATACCAATTTTATCGTTTGTGTTAAACTGACCCATTTCACACCAAATAGATATATAGGCATACTTCCGGCAATCTAGTATTAAAGCGTAGAATAAAAAAAGTCTTAGGTAGAAACGTCAGCTAATGAGTTGAAATTTACTTATCATTCAATTGTTTAGTTATTTAAGAGTTATATTCGTTCAAGTTCACCCAATTTCATTATAGAATATCAACAAATTGCATACTATTGCTTTACTTTTCATTGGAACTGTTATATGAAATGGTCCAAAGTCCGAAGAATAGGTGTATGTAAGGCGGACTAACCACAATAAATTTAGTTGTCAAGTTCGCTAACTCTGTAAACTCTATTCTTATAATGAACATAGTCGCTTAGATTCTTATATGTATCGAAGTAGTTCGTTTTTTGGTCTTTCACTTTTGAAAAATGTTCTTGAAATTCGGTTTCCTATGTAACTTTTGAATGATTGAAATGAAAACCTATTCATTCCAATAAAGTTGATACACATATGTATATATTTTTTTTCTTTTTTCATCACAAAATAGGAAAAATAAGAGTGTTTTGCGTTATAAAGGAGTATTTGTCAAAGGCTAAATGGCTTCAATGAATCGTGCCGTCTGCTTCAAATTTTCTACAATTTTTTTTTTTTTTTTACGGCGTTTTTTGGAAAATATTAAAATTAGTAAACTTATTATATGAGGAGCGACTGTGAAGAGGATCGAGATTCAATTTATTCTTAAAGATGTCAATTCTTGTGTATGAAATTTTATCACAATATCTGTATGCTGAACGCATACATATATGAATGGCAAGACATCAGACGGTCAGTGGAACGTTCAGATATTCTAACATAGATTGCAGAAGTGATTCTGAAAATTTTGATCTATAGATAACACATAAGAATATATGGACAGAGGGACATAATTGCTTGAAGTGATTGAATCATCAATTCGTATAATACAAGATGGATTTATATATTCATATAAACTTGATATAATCTTAGCATAAGTTGTGCGAGTCAATCTTTATGAAAATTAATAAAGTTCAATCCTTTTTTCCTGATTTCGTTGAATTTGGAGTATGGATGAACGGAAGAAGAAATGGTTTCTGAATATGTGAAATGATAAAATTATTAAAGATTCATTTTTCAGTACATTATGTAAAAAGATTTTGTTTTTTTTTTGAACATTACCATACTGTTTGAAAATTAACATAACAGAATAACGTAATATTCAATAGTTTAGTGATAACGCACGGTAAAGCATTCGTGATATCCGTTATGTCCGGTGGGTGACTTTTCAATGTAATTTAGATATGACGAAATTTTATTGCAAAAAAAAATGTAATAAAAATTTTATTGTCTCCTATACGAAAAAGAGCGAAAGAAGCACCCATAAAATATATGTAATCTGGTACCAAAGTAACATATTTTGAGTCGACTTAATCTACTACATCTTTCAATCGGTCATTTGGTAACATTCTCCAACTTATAGACGGATGGAAACCGATATTTGTTATACTTATAACATGATTTTCCACCAAAAAATTTCGAAATTTATTATTCGTTGTCTGTAAACTGAGAGAAACATGTTAACAAGCATAATAAACTTTTAGAAACAAACTTCAAGATACGCACAGACTGTATTCTCGTTGCAAGTGCTATTTTCAAGTATTAGTTGCATAGTTGCGTGGACAGTGGTTCACGATATTTCAATATGACTCACTCAAAAGACTCGCTCACTCTTATGCGTCAATTTCAGTGCACTTGTTCAGGAGCTGCCTCATATATTTACTGATTAAAAATGTAAACCTAAAAATAAGTGTTTTTTTAGTTATAAATAAATCATAGTTTCAAACCAACGAAGAACTTTATTTTGCGCTGGCAGACTCCTAAGCAGAGTCAATCTAATTTTTATTATTTGTTTTCTGCCATTACGATTATTTCATAGCATCAATAAATTAGTTGTCGCACGAGTTAGACTATTTTATTTAGTAAAGGGGTAAGCAACTTTTTTCCATCTACAGTTCAATTTTAATCTTCATATGACGACAGTGGCCAAAATTAGGTTCAATTTGTATTAAAAGTTCGGCATTCGCTCTCAATCTTCCTTCCATTTTGAATAACTCATTTTATGACCTTGTGAGCAAGAAAGAAACAGAAGCATTTTATATTTAATAGGCGCACAGCTGAGCCGATTGTGTAGGCAGGTAGTATAAGCTGTTTGCAGCACTGCTATGTGCGTGCAAATTGAATTATTTGAAATTCCAAAAGTACTGGGCCGGCGATTGCCCATACCTGAGTTAGTATTTCTTTTCAGCTAAATTAAGCCGTATTATAAAATACTTATACTATTTCTATAGTTTATATATGAAATTATTTGTGCACAAGACACAAATAAATAAGGAGTACGGTTCCAAAGTGAACAGAAAAATAAAACCAGAATTATGTTTGCGTCCCATTTCGAAGCGTAAAGGTCAATGACGTCGGAGTGCGAACGAACGTCATACGAAATGATATTGCGGAAATAGCGGGAATAAAATGTACAGTTACATAATGGATAGAATGGATAAATATTTTTTGAGGTTGTGCAGAACAATTCAAGTTAAGGTTAAATTGTTTGCGTGGGTCGTTACACATTCGCGCTATTACAAATTACACAAAATTTTCAAATTTGTTAAAATTCAATTAAATTTCATATCACTTATAATTTAATTTAAATTCCATTTTAATGCAATACCAATATGATATTAGTTTTACTTTTCCAATTCAATTTTAATTCAAATCCGGTTGGGTTCTCATTCAATTTCATTTGACATTTAATTCAATTTCTGTTAAATTGTAATTTAATATCAATAGAATGGAGAGTGATGTTGTTTTGCAAAAAAAAAAAAAAAAAAATTTATAAATTTTATATACACGTTTCGGTACAAAGATCTTTTACTATTTTTTTTTTTTTTGTCTTTATTACAGAATCTGCAAAAAAAATATCGTCTGGACTTTAGGCGAGGCTGCTGCGTCTGTTACTGGCGTTATTGGTGTAGCATTAACTTGCAACCAAAACAATATTAATTTTTTTTTTTGAAATTTCCTTGTTTGCAGCCTTAAAGGTCGTCAGTTTTCTTTTAGTGAATAACTGTAAACTGTGCGTTCGTGTCTTGCTAGTTGGCCGGTTGGTGTGACTGAATAATTAACAGCTTCTGTGTGTTTCGTTTGTGCGGTTGTATCCAGTTGGCATCTCAATATCGCCAAGCGAAGACAAGGTGCTTTATTGTGGCACTTGGCCAAACAAACCGGGGGAAAAAGTGAAAGAGAAACTGAAACGTCAACTAAGTTGATTGCAATAAGAAACGCGTGGTGCGCGCCATATACGGCAAACAGTGTAACAATGCTCTCTTAAGCATGAGTGGATTTGGATATGGCGACGTTTTAATTCAAGGCTTAAAATCCTTGCATTCGCAGTAATTTTGCGATATTTTGTACATTCTTTTCATTATCGAACTTGGCCCAAATTAAAGTCTAAGTGTATATATTCGCGTTGATTAAAAGCTAACATAATTAACGATAAAAATTTCTTGTGAAATTCTTTGAAAATAAAATTTAAAGTAAATAAAAAAAAAAAAAAAAAAAGTTGAGAAATCATGTAGTAAATAGCCCAAAAAAAATTTATTTAAAGAGGAAAAAAAAGAGAAAACCGAAGGCGAAAAAGAAAAAAACCAACAAACTACTTATTTAATGTACATACGCACACAAATACAAATGCATTGAGGAAATGGGAAAAAACAGTAGATTCAAACTTACGCATTGCGCTGTTATCTCTTTGGCTCTGGCAATTTAATTTATTCAAGTTACGTGTGGGAGTCGAGTCGCTGGGTACATGCAGTGCCAAACGTTTTCTGCTGCCAATAACAACAAATACAAACGATTACTACAACTATGCGGGCAGTTAAAATTGTGGCACGCTTCTGCAGTTTCTGCGAGACGTGGTTGCTTTTGATGATTGTCATGAGCGGTAAGTGCAATATTATACTATTACATAATATCTCACGTTACTATTAACGTACAAGGTAATTTGCATCAAGGAATGGAGATATGAAAAAAGCAAAAATTGTTCACTGTATGTGGAATGAAGAACAAAACAAAATTATCGCGTGATAAATTGAATGAAATGAACAATTCTTCTTTTAATTATACAAGTTTATAAGCATTTAACACTTTACAAGTTTCATTTAATTTTAATAAATGACTTATCTACTTTCATATTTTTTCATTACAAGAGGAAAGAGAAAATTCTAACTTCTTTCAAAATTGGATAGGATTGAGACGAATATTTTGTTTGTGTGGCGTCATCCGCACAAAATTATTTACCGAAAGAGGCCGTAAATAGGGCAGGGCATAATATCATCTTGTACGGTGACGACAATCTCTGCGCGACGACAATCTCTGCGCGTGTAATTCTTGAGTCAAACTCAACTCTTGAATGTTTCTTGAATATATATGAAGTGATCTGTGAGCTACCGTTACAATGACATATGCGTTACATGTTCCGATTGCCTGAACTTTTCACTAATATTAATATAATAATATTAATATATATAACATTGTTAATATTATGTCACTCCGTCTGACTTTGACTGCATAATTAAAAATATTACTTTAATTAACTATTAAACAAAACACATTTAACAACAATATAATAATAATCGTTATGGGGAAGCGATTTCTTTCCTTTTACAAAAATTAGATTTGACGGAAAAATGAAAAGCATGAGAAACTCTATACCTTAGCCATATAGATGATATCAATAATATCAAAAATCCAGAGTCTATTTGCTTTCTATATAATTTTAAATAGCGTGATTAAGTGCTGCGTTATGTTACAAAAATAAAAAAACAAAAATTGAAAATTTAAAAAATTTAATGCATATTCTTTAAAAAATGATTAAATGTTAATGCAACAATGTGAGCATGAAATTATGGTTAACGCAATGCCATTGGAATGAATTTTGCTTGTACATATCTGTAACGTCATTGAAATATTAAAAAAAAAACTTTCTCAAGTAATTATATAAAACAAATATAAAATACTATATAGTTAGCTACGGGCGAACATGACACACCCTACACCAATATCCCGACAATTATTCATATAATCACTTGTCAAAATAAGTTGAAAATGTGGTCCGATTCGAAGCATTTTTAATAGCTTTAATAGCTTTTTGGGCTAGAACAAGTAGCTGCATCAAATTTCATTAATATACTTTAAAAATTGCGAGCTGCAGGTTAAACTCAAAGAAAACAAGACGAACAGACGGATAGATGCATAGACGACGGCAGACCAGCTTATACCAAGATTCAAAAAGTCATTCTGAATCGATGAGCCTATCTCAACTCTCCTTCTGGCTGTTGCGTACATCTACACAAATTTAATACGGCCTTCAGTATTCAACACACAAGTGGTGTGCAAAGTGTTGACGCATTAGCTTTCATAATAAACTCATTGCTTTTTTGCATCTCTTATGTATTTCATTTTCTTAACCCAAAAAGATTTATCAAGATTCATTAACAAATTCCATGAAATTAAAGACTCGAAAAAAAAAAACAAAACAAACTTATGTTTTAGTAATAGTAAGTACAACATTTTTAGAAGAAATTCTATAAAATATTTTTAAGTACAGCAGCGCACGGTCTGTTATGTTCTTAAAAACGAATATGCCAACAGAGTCCAAGCGCTGTGCAAGAAAAAAACATATTCAAGTATCATATATACTCGATGGGAAAATTTCAGGGATTTGGTTAAGCCTGAAAGTTTTTGATCTTAAATGTAAAAATCTTCCATTCGGATTGAAACGAATTTTAGATACCCATCCGTTAGACAGTGAACTGACTTATTGCCAACTTATCGACAGCTTTCTTTTTATGTGAAAATGTATTGAAATTAAAAATTTGTTTTGAAATATATTTAAGTTCTTTTTCAAGTTCTTGGGGACATGCCCCCGTCATATAATACAATTCGAATAATACAGATAAAAAGGGAGACATTTTCAAATCGAGTCGAATTTTACTTTATATATATATATATTTCGAATTTTTTATTAATAAATGCGACAAAAGGCATAACGAAACGATTATGCTGTCCTGTCATCGTTCGGCGATGAGCAGAAAAACTATAAAACATATGGATACCTGCCTACCTGTGTATATTACGTATACAGACATTTTATGTATTTTCTGATAGTAGGAGTGAACTATTTTTTCAAATATTGACATACAAGTATCGTTTGAATATTTTTTGAAATCCAACTGAAGTGAGTTCAATCGACTCTGGATTTATTTGCACAAGAGCTGTGCCATCTATTCATACAAAAATATTGCGGACTTGCAACTGGTATGAAACAAGTGTGAATTTTTTTTTTTTTTTTTTTTCTTTTTTGCCATTTTAGATTCGCCCGTTTTCTTCAAATGTGAAATAGAAAAATAGGTAAAAAAAAAAAAAAGAAAAAATATAGAGTAACAAAAGCGGCACTCATTTCAATGACGCTATACTTGAAAATTCAATTTGAAGTAAACACATAAAACGAACGAAACATACAACAAATATTTACTGTTATCGGTTAAAGCGAATGAGTCAAGCGAATCGCGTAGGTATCCAGAAGTGATGATGATGGATAGAAATACTTGCAAACCAACAAAAAAAAATAAAAATAAAAAAAAATACCTAATAAATAGAGCCGACCACACTCAATTCAATAAATAAAAAAGTTAGGGTGCGTTGCATACTCTAAACAAGTTTTTAAATAAACAAAAAAAATTTTACATTCGGCTTGAGTTGAATACTTCCACACGCTTCATCTGCATCGTCATTTTTGCGCAAAAAAACTAAAGATAGAAAAATAAAAATAAGTAAATACAAAAATAAAAAAGAAAAAGAAAATTCTTCGATAGATGCGAATGTATTATATATATATACCTGTATACATACACACACACATATATATATATATATATGTACATCGGACAACATGTGTTGTTTTTAGGAAAATTGATTTACGCATTTATGTTACCTATGTAGAAATAACTCGAATATTGGTAAAAAATGGTTTCGTTTTATTTTATTTAGAAAATAAAACAATGGCTACGTTTGTTGAAGATCTTTCCGATATATATATATACTATATGCATCATTGTTATTGGGTTTTATCTGCCGGCTTTAGATACTATTGGCACTTACGAAAAGGTCAAGTTTTTACCTTATGACCCAAAGTGTGACTAAAAAAACTTTTATGGAAACAAAAAAATAAAAAAAAAAAAATTAAATTAAAAGCACAGAAATCTAAAAAATCCGTTTTAACACCATCGTCAGTTATCATCCAGAACTTGTCAATTGAAATTCACACAGTGCAGCCATTGGCTTAGCTATTTTTTTTTGATTATATTTTGTTTGTATTGGTGAATAAAATAAAAATTTGAAAATCAAATATTAACAATCAATTGTTTTAAAATATTTGCATAAAAAAGTGTGAAGATTAAATTTGAAGAGTACGTTTTGTTTAGATGTAAGTGCATTCAAGAACAGATAGTAGGTATGAATATATATTTTGGACCATTCATTCTTCTGTGTTTTGCTATTAAAATAATTATTTTATTATACTCTTGATAAGACCTTCGTTAGTCACTATTTTTGTTTTTTTTTTTTATTTTTGCCATATACGTATTGAAATGAAAAACAAGTCTTCCCCGTGAGAATTAGATGAGAGATGGTCCGATAAATAGGTTAAAAATTAGTCCTTGTTGGCATTGGCATTGATAAGAACGGGTTAAAAAGTTGACAATTTTTGCTTTTTTTCTCTCTCTCGAAATTTTATCCCCACGAATTGTATAGAATTCGAATCAGTTCGGTTTTTTCACTTAATAAGATTCGTGCAAACGTTTGTCTGGCATTACGTGCAACTATTACGTAAATCATGAACAGCCTGTATGGACAATCACGTATGAGATTTTGCATAAATGAATAATGATGTAATTCGAAATGTATACGATATACGACTCCTATACGATACGACTATATATATTTAATGAAGCAATCTCCACTCTACTCTTCGCGTCATATATATGCAAAGGTAATAGCGTGTATTACATAATATATAACGCCATTCTGTTCGTCTTTATTTTTCAAACGAGTAAAAAAAAAAAAAGAAAACGCTATTGTAAGGCACGGCCCACTATTAAATAACGTACAGCACTCCAAAGTTATCGGTTTTTCAAAATAAGACTTTTTTATGGCAAGTGGTTCACGGTTGACTTAACGGGCCGATCTGGATCATTTGCGAGAGACTTCGTTCTTGGGCAAAGACACGTTAGTGCACTAACTGAATTTCATCAAAATTTCATAAAAATTACGATAAGAAAGCAAGACGGGCAGACGGACAGACAGGCTTAGACTGATCAGAAAATGATGAACGGTATGAACTGATCGGTACAAAAAAACGCCGTTCTGAGTGTCATCCATACATCCATGCAAAAATTTAACATACCCTTGTACCTAGCAAGTGGTGTAGGGTATAAAACAATATTGCAAATATAAAAGACTTGGAAAATTGTTGAAAATGATTTTTTGAAATTTTTTTTATACAAAAAGAGAAGAAGAAAAATGTTTGAAACTGCCTTAGAAGTAGGGTCACCTGCCTGTTTGCAAGTGCATTAGACATTTCATTACGGAATTGGTGATAATTGTTAAATGTAAATTGAGGTGAACTTAACTGGCCATGACGAAACAATGTTACTGGATGCTTGCATACTTAATCAATATACGGTCACGTTTGTTGCCCGCCTTATGAGCTTAACCATTGTGAACGTATGACGGTGTACGGTCAATATAACGACAACGACAACGACAACGACAATCATGATACAAATAAACTCTGACTTCAGGTACACCATATAGACGATTACTCTCACTGGCGCAGTAACTTGAAATAAATTTCAATTTCATTTATTAAATACAAAAAGTAAA